GGCTGCTTTTTTTCCTCCCCCCTTCTCTCTCACGTACGCCTTTTCCGTAGTTGAGGGGGCCTTTTGTACGCCAGCTCCGCGGCCTGCGCGCGGCCCTCACGCGACTCCCGGAGCAGGGGCCTTGAGGAGCAGCAGCACGGGTACAGGTACGAGGGCTGGGGCTGCGGTGTCTTACAGGGGAAGGGTCCCAGGGCAGGCCCGTGGCACCCCGGTGGGTGCCCCCCCTTATTTCGAGGCCTGGTCCCCTGGGACGCCGACCCCAACCCTCCTCCAGCGCCGCCCACACGGTAAGTGTCGCCCCCCCTCCCCCACGCCGCAGACGGAGGGTGGCCACGCATGACGGCGAGCACGGCCCGTGGGTCGTTCAGGGTCGAAGCCACGCTCCCAGGTACGGCGCGATGGACACGACGCCATCGCCTCCATTTCTCCGCTCCTCCGAAAATCCCTGCCCGGGCCCCCCGTGCCTGGAAGGTGTCACGCGAGCGCCACGATCCAGGACGATCCACGGTGGACGCCGGTACGAATTGAAGCCGAAATAACAAATGTGCGTCGGTCGTGGTAGAAATAGGGACAACCCTTGTCAAAGCATTGTTCCTACTCCTCAAATGAACACGATTGCATTAACGCAGTCAAATACAAACGCGGTGAGGTCTAGCCCTTGTCAAAGCATTGTGTCTACTCCTAAAATTAATATGACAAAATTAACGTGATCAGATACAAATACGGTGAGGACCAACCCTTGCAAAAGCATTGTTCTTACTCCTAAAATGAACACGATCACGTTAATGCGGTCAAACACAAATGCAGTGAGGGCCAGCTCTTGTCCAAGCATTGTTTCTACCCCTAAAAGTAATGTGATAAAATTAACGCGATCAGAGACAAATACGGTGAAGACCAACCCTTGCAAAAGCATTGTTCCTACTCCTAAAATGAGCACGATCACATTAACACGATCAAATACAAATACGGTGAGGGCCAGCCCTTGTCAAAGCTACTCCTAAAATTAACACAATCAAATACAGTGATCGATCAAGTCATAAACCTGTGAAAAGGTTGTACGTAGGTCTACCATTGACGCTGTGAAAAATATAGTGGTGAGATTTATCAGTTATATCAATACTAAAGGGTATTTGTCTCTAATTGCTTCAGCCTTATAAGCAAAAGTTGCAAGATGGCTTACTAAATATTAATCTGTTTGCTGGAGGAGCCGTATTAATTTCTCTCTGCTTGGGAAATCTGTCAGTTTCTGCAAGAACAGGGATCGATACTTTCTCCTTATGTCATTGTATAAAGGACTTTCTAAAACGTAATGGATAGTATCTTCCAAAACTCCTAGGCAAGCTGGAGACAACTGGACAAAGTGCTGTCATAGGAGCACCTGAAACTAAATCAGAAACTTAATTGGGACATGCTGCTATATGAACACAGTCAAATCTAATGGGTCAATGTTGCCTGGGGGGTGGGGGAGAATAAGGGTGTACCTGTTTCATTTCCACTTCTGATTTGAATTGGAAAGAAGAATGAGACTCAGACACGTTCCTGGAAACTTCAGCTTTCAAAGAAGATAAATGTGTGTGTGTTGGGGCAGGGGGAACCCATAAGTTAACTTCTGAGTACTCCAATGTGGCCTGTCTTGTCTGTTTCTGTCTCCTGGATGGTTAGATCCTCAAGGTCGGGACGGTCTATTTTTAAGTATTTCATAGGTTTTATATGGTGATGAGCACATTGTTGGAATCTAACCAATTATACGTAAAAGCAGCACACAAATCTACAGCAGTCATGCAGACAGAGAGAGAGGACCAGTGAAATACTTTTGGGAGATTTCAGTTGCTTATCACAGATGTTTATTAAGGCAACACATGTAGAATTATTCTGTAAAAATGTACATGCCCGAAGTTTACAGCAGTACAAGAAGATTTTTTGCTACGTGGTTCTTAGGAGTAAACAAACTCAAATGTTGTTTGCGAGAAGTCCTTGGAAAGAGCCAAATATCGCAAATAAGACATTGCTGAATGTGTTCAGTGACCCTAACACATTGATGAACACATTCAGTGATGATTTAAAAACAGGGTTCCAAAGCAGCAATTTCATTTTTTTTAATTCAATGGGTTTCTTCTGTTTCATTGGAATCAACTGTCTTGTGGTGAATGCATTGAGAGGAACAGGAAGAAGTTAGGACCAGAATGACAGCGAGAGCCAGAAGATCCAAGAATGTAAATGGGGGGCGGGAAGTGGCTTGTAAAAATCAGAAAAATTTGGGAACGTTCGACAAATAATTAGGAAGTAACATTATTATGTGTGTAGTGTCTCATAATATTTGAGTCCTATATAGACATTAACTTATTCTTGTGGTACTCCTGTGAAGTAGATAAATATTACCATCCTTGTTTTACAGTTGTGGAAATAGAAATAAAAAGGAGACCTTGGAAGGAGTTCACTTGTAGCTAAGATGGGCACTCAGGAGTTTCTGGCTCCCGGCTTTATGCTCAGATAATGCTCTTTTAAACCAGATTGGAGGAATAAAAAGTTTGGTACATTTGGCAGCGGGGGGAGAGACCCTATAAGTCCTTAACAATGCAAATATCCAAACAACATTGGTTTCTTTTAATTTTCCTCAGCTGAACAGAGAACCAGGCACTATCTAGTAGGGGGAAAAAAATGTATGTATCGTTTCTAGACAGACAGCTTTCTGATTTTGTTGAGAGTCTGCAGTTTTTGTGATTTTGCTTATTTCACTAGTGTAACAGAATGCATCAGAAAGACCAGCTATGCTCAAATCCTACTTAAAGCACCTATTTGGAAGTTAGTGTGACTACTCACATGAGCAAGGCAATCTGCTGGGTTCAGTGCAAGGAGCTGGTTTTAGTAGTGCAGTACAGAAAAAAATATTCTATATATTGCATGTCTGATAAAGCAATTCAACTACCAATATTAAGTAAAAGGTAGAGACAAGGCAGCAGCTGGTGTATATGACCAATATATGAAAGCAATTTTCATGAGGACAAGATAATGACAAAAAAGGAGAGGCGGGTGAAAAGAGGTTTTATAAAGAATTGTCGATTGTCACTGATTTTATGTTTGGAGGCGATGAACCAGACAGTGACATTTGCAGTGAGGCAGCCCTAAGGGATCGTGTACTTCAGTGATACACCAACAACTACAAATACTACAGTGAAGACTAAATAGCTATTAGCTGTAATAAAAGTGGGGGCATATAGTGAGCAAGAATGAAATGTAACCCATCAAATATCAAGTGCTCGGCATTGTGTACAGACAAATGGAAATGTTCAAACAGAGCTTGGGGGAAGAGGCATTTCTTTTCCTTTTTCTAACTAAAAAAGAAAAACCTTATTTGTTAAACTGATCCATTGTCTGGTGACCCAGTTCTTCACAGATTCTAAATTGTGCCTTCAGACACATGAACGCATTTCCCACTAGAGATAATGGGGTTTATCCGTATGTATCTGAGGGCACAGTCTCGTCCAGAATTTGGAGTAAAGTGCTAGAAGTAAAATTGCGGACAGGGACCCTTTCAGGAAAATTATAAAGCATGTAAACAGTACCAGGTCATTCACGAAGACCGGAAAATAGCAAAAAATCAACGCACAGGAAAAGGAGCTTTCGGCTTGTCATCTTCTTAAATCCAGGCTCTAATTTAAAAAAAAAAAAAACTGAAGCATGCTAATAGTGTCACTGCAATTAATGTAACTTCACTGGGACTACCTGTGTTTTTAGTTAGCAGTCTGATTAAGTAACTTCCTTAATGGGGGTCTTCATTTATATGATAAGCCTGAGTGCTGCTACACAAATGCAAAGCGCTTTGAAGGAAATTTCAAAGTGTGTAGGTTCGGTCGTTAAAAGTTGATGGGAGGGACATGATCTAGAAAACAGTGTCTGAAACAGCTTTTCTAGGTTTTGATTTTTTTAAGTTATAGTAAAGTACAGCAAAGTTAGCTTATAGGAAAAAACGTCACCAGGTAAGGAGAGGGAAGGAAGAGAGCAAGTGCAGATGGAAAAAGAAAAATATGGAAAGTACATGAGTCAGATGTCATCTGACTTGTATAGAAAAAAAACCCCATAGGGAGCAGGATGTGAAAAAGTCAATAACTCTAAGATTTGAAATAAAGGATTATAATATAAGCAGTCAGAACAGGAAGGTAGGTGGGCAGTGGATGAAAGCTGCGCCCAGGAAGGGAGAATATAAAAAAAACCAACAACCAGAGAACAGTCACCGCACAGAGTAGTAGAAATGAAAGGAACTAAAAATACAACTGCAAGACTATTTAAATAAAAAGAAAAATATTTGACCATTCTGTCATTGCTGCTGATGGGGAGAGAGACGGCAGCTGGGATTTGGCAAATAAATTGGGCCTGAGCTCTGTATCAGTGGTTGTATCCTTTCTAGAGGGCATGGAGAGGGGAGACCAGGAAAATGGGAAACGGGTGAGGGATGTTTTGAATTTCTGTCACTTCTCACAGCTAAAATACTGCCCTGTTTAAAATCCTTTCTTGTCCTTTATGAATGTTACTATCCACTGAACTGTGGGCCCACTCGTGGGTCTTACCAACATCTTAGGCCAAATTCGGATCCACCCATGTATCCTCACATAAAACTCTTAAGCTCTCATGCCATCTGGGTGAAGGGTTGTTTGTTTGGGTTTTTTACTTGCTTGTTTTTTAAGGCAACTTGTGACCTGTGTATTTTGTAGCGTGGATGTTAGAGCTTAGGCAGGCAGCTTCATTGCCATCTCACAGTGGTCTGGGCTTGTATGTTCCAGCCCTTCTACCTGCTTGCTTCCCATTTGCCTTCTCTGTATCAGATGGTAGTTTGCTGGTCAGCTTCAACTCTTTGTGTCATTCTGAGTGCTCCATTTTCATTCAGCCTAGAGCTGCTAGCTGGTTGACCTATCATGCGACTGCAGCAGGGTTCATGATTTTGGGAGAAGCATCCCAAATCTGCATTAGTATGAAAGTGTCTTGCAGAGGCTGGAGAGGCAGGGGCTTGGGGACCAAACAGACAACTGCCTAGTGCAGGTAGTGCCTACAGGGCACCTTCTGCAAGGCAGAGGAGAGCACCCTGTGCACCTGCCTCTACTACAAGTGGCTTCTGGATGTTTGCCATCATCTTGCAGGCAGAACTCTCAGTCCTGCGTGACAGACTGAACTACAATGATAGACTGATCAAAGGCAAAAGAGATGGAGGGGATGGAATCACGAGAGCAGATCACAGTGCTGGAACAGGCCCTGGAGCAGGCGGCATGGGCCGTGTTCCAGCAGTCTCTTCAGGGCTGGACTGAAAAAGAAGCAGCTCTACAGCCAATGCTGCAGCCAGGTAAGTAGGCAGGATTTTCAGGTCATTTTAATAATGCAGTTATTATGAAGGCTGTTACCTGCAGTGCAATGGCTTGAGCTTCCTTTGAAGGCAGAAGTTAATGCCATCTTCCCTCCCCAGTCTCCTCCCTGACACACACCTTTTCTTTCACTGCTGTGTGAGACCAAGAATAGGTTCTAACATCGGGAAACTTAAACATGTAAGTAGTGAGTCATTCTTACACATTTGCAGTGATTAGTAAAGAATTCTTTACAAGGTTAGCAAATATGAGTGCATATTTCAGCATATGGTGAGCTCTTTCTAATGTTGGCAGGCTGATACAGACTTATACCGTTACTGGTATTAAAATGTTTTCCCAGACAGCCTGGATTCTAAGCCTCAGTGCCTGTATTAAGTGGGAAAAATCCCTAATATATGGCAGTACATAGCCTTCTGGTCCTGTTTATTCATGACATGTTATTCAGGTGGATGAGGGCAAGTAGAACAATAGTTCTGCTGTTAGCAAACCTCTTCCTAGTTCTGAATCCTGTCAATGTTACCTCGCACTTTCTCCCATTCCTGC